TGTCGAGCAGCACCGCCATCGGGTTGGCCTGCACAGCTGCCGCCACTGCCTGGAATTCCTCGCCGGCCTCCGGCGCCAGCGAGACCGTCGGCTCCACCACGCCGACCATCGAGCACGACGCCTCCCCGTCGCCTCGGCTCTTGCCGCTGGAGCTGTCGACGTCTTTCGTCGACGACGTATTCTTTGACGCTTGCTTCTCCTTGCGCGGCTTCTCAACTTGACGGGGGCGACGACTGGCCGATCGTCCGCGGCCTCCCTCGTTGTTGTCCTCGTCACTGTCATCGTGGTCGGGGCACTCAAAGGAGAGATGGTCGGGATCGCCGCAGATCCAGCACTCCCGCCGTCGACCACCACCTCGTCGACCCTTGTCCCGCGTCGACCTCTTCTCGTCGACGTCCTTCGTCGACCGCCCACCTCCGCTACCACTTCCGCCCGGCTTCCCGTGCTGCCCTTGCTGCTGATTCAGCTTCGTCGATGCAACGTAGTTCGCCTACGGAAGAAGCTCAGTGGGCTGTTCGGCCTCCTGCATCGCCTCATCTTGAAGATTGTAGCTGGTGATGGAGTCCTCGTCGAGGGACTCACGCGTGCCGGGCACCATCATCATCCTCTTCATGAGATTGTAGCTGTGCGGCAAGCCCTTGACGATGTGGGTGATGTAGGACGCCGTCGAGTATTCGGCGCCCGCCATTCGCATCTCAGCCAGGATCCGTCGAGCACCGTTGCAGTAATCCGTCGCCGACTCCTGCTCGCCCATCCGAATGTGAGTCATCTTCTCCTCTAGCTGTCCGATGTACAGGTCGTCCCTGACCTGGTACGTCGATATGATGAAGCGCCATGCCTGGTGACCAGCATCCAATCGCTCTCGACAGCTCCTGAGCGCCAGCTGCACCACCGGCGAGCAGCACCTCAAGATGACCATGAAGGTGAGCAGAACGAAACTCCCCGCGCAGCCCGACATCCTCCTCGGGCGGAATTGGCACGGTGCCGTCGGCGAAGCCCTTCAGTTCGGCGACCTCTAGCTGAGGTTCGATCGACTCCCTCCAGGTGATGAGGTCCCGTCGACCTTGCAGCGGAGCGACGGTGATTCGATCCGGCGAAAACTTGAAGTAGCCATACGCCGGTGCAATCTCGCCCGCCGTCACATGCGTCGTCGCCGAGAGCCCGCCACCACTTCGTAGAGGAGAGCGACGTCGAACATCGACGTTGGCGTGCGAGCTGCCTGCAGCCGCCGTCGACCGCTGCACTCGCGCCTGGATGTGGATAATAGAGCGAGAATGAATGAACTATGAGTGAAGTGAGTACAAATAGCAAAACCCTAATTGGGTTGTACCCCCTATGGTATACCCCACTGTAGCCTACACAACAGCATAAGCTACATATATGTTCTGACACTGGATTCCGTCCACACCACCGTCGACCTTGATCACTCCTCTCTGCCTCGTGCCTTCGCTGCCGCTGACTCGTGCACCACCGTTGACCTCGTCGTCGACGCCACCTTCGTTGCGCACCGGACGAGGAGAAGTAGGACGGGAAGGGTGTTTCGTCGCCCACTGCGACCGAATGCCCAACTCGGCGATCACCAAGGGGATCGTCCCGTACTCGCCATCCACGTGGCGTCTCCTCGCGTCAGCCAAACGTGCCTCCAAGGTGTCCGTTACACCCGCATCAACCACGGGATCGACCATGGCGACTATCGCTGCTGGCGGCCTACGAACGACTTAGTAGGTGCAAAAGTCGGCTCCAATCTGAAGGTCGCGTGTTCGATCCACGCTCACCGCACCATGCGGAGATACATTCTACAACGGTTGTGAGCTGGACTACAGGGTTGGCACGAACTACTAGAGGTGATCGTAGCTTTGCTTGGTTCCTTAGTGCTTGCACATTCACGGGAGAAATTGGCAAGAGTTTCCACTAGCAAAGTTGAGAATCCCAGAATAATCCAAGAAGCAATGACAACAATGACTACATCAGGCACCTAGCAACCCTGCAGCTAGCCTGGTCGACCGCCAGCGCAGCTCGGTCGACCGCCTGCCAGCATTGCATAGAGGAGCCGCGCCAGCACTGTAGAAGGGCGACCTGCCAACAAAGCAGGTCGACGGCGTGCCCCGTAGAACACAGCAGTGCGCGCGCTCGCAGGTGTGCGCAGACGATTGGCCCGACTTGCCTCGTTGGGCATCCGTCGGCTGTTGTCTGCGCCTGACGAGCCACATCGACTTCGGGATACCAGTTCGAAGTCACCTGCGCCATCGCGATCTCGACGACGTTCGCGAGCCTCCGCAGAACTCGTCGAGCAGGTTACCCGGTCCACCTGGTCGACCCCTGGTGCTCTGGCCGACCCCCAGGTGCCTCCGGTCGACCACTGGGTCCCTCTGGTCGACCACCAGGCGCTCCTGGTCGACCACAACTCCCGTCGAGCTACCCCCTGGTCGACGGACCCCTTCCGTCGACCAGAACTACTTTGTCCACCTCCCAATCGAACTGCAGGTCGACGGGATGCTCTCCAGACCTCCCGGTTGAGCTGGAGTTTGACAAGATGCTCCGTAGACCTCCCTGTCGAACTGTAGGTCGACGGACTGCTTCGTCAACCTCCCGGACGGCCCACCCGTCGCACAGACCAGTCAGTTGCAGCTGTCGAGCTCCTTGGTCGACAGCAACACCACAGCGGTCCGGTGCAGCTCGACGTAACCTGTCGAGCAGCTATCCCACTGTGAACAGCCGGCTGCTACTCCCGTGCATCCGATCAAGTCGTCGGCATTGCCCAAGCGAACATTGCCCAAGCGAGGGCGGGGCCAACACTCCATTCTTGTTAACACTCCCCTGCCGCGCTCACGCTTGGGCCTCCAGCCCACACGGCAGTACTCCACGGAGAAAACTCGTCCTCGGCGTGCACCCCACACACAGCACGCCGTCACCGCACCAGCCGTGCAGAAGGGCACGGCACCTACTGCTGCACCTCGTCGTCGTCGTCACCGACGTCGACCAGGCAAACTTGGCCGATGGCGACACAGTACCGGTTGAAAGCCGGAAAATGCAGCGCCTTCGTCAGGAAGTCCGTCGGCTGCTCGGTGGTAGGGATGTAGTTCAGCACAAATTTCCCGCGCCTCACCATGTGCTGCAGCCAGGCGTAGCGTCGCTCCATGTGCTTGAGGTTGCCCGTCAGCCCCAAGCCCTCAGCGACCGTAATTGCCGACTTGTTGTCGACGCGGACGATGGTCGGCTTCCCAGCGTCGAGCAGCTTGAATTCCGCAAGGAGGAAGTGAAGTCGATGCCCCTCCTTGCCGGCGTCCGTTGCCGCCACGCACTCCGACTCGGTCGATGATAAGGTCGCACACTTGATGCACGAGCTCGACCAGGAGATTGCGGCCCCTCCGTAGACGAACACGTAGCCTCCCGTGCTCGTCCGGCTCTATTTGTCGCCTGCGTCGTCGGCATCGACGTAGCCGATCAGCTCCAACGATTCTGGTCCACCGCCAAACTCCAGGGCAGTGTCGCGGGTGGCAGGCGAGGTAGGCGAGACAGCGGTCGACCTCGTGCCAATGCTGGTCGCTCCTCACCGTGAGGCCGCTCCCCAGCTTGTTGCAGGCGAACGCGATGTCCGGCCTGGTCGTCGTCGCCGCGACATGCAGCGAGCCGACCTTCTGCCGGTACTCCTCCTCTCGCTCTTGAGCCTCCTCGTCGTCGAACGTCAGCTGAGCGTAGGCGTCAACTGAGACTGGCGTCTTCGGGACTCGACCGCCCAGCTCCTCGTCGATGAAGCGCCTGCGCAGCTTGTCGGCGTAGCCCTGCTGGTGCAGCCACAGCTTCTTGGCCGGCCTGTCGCGCAAGATCTCTAGCCCAAGGTACTTCACCACCTGCCATAGCACTGTAATCACCCGCGATAGAAATGTGTTGTAGTGTGACTGTTCGTGACACCCCTGTGACCAAACGTTATAAAACGGGCTTAATTGCGACTGCATGTATAATTTCCCTTTGAAGAGTGCCAGGTCAGTGTGTACACATGATGCCCAACCATTGCGCGCGAATTTGCCTTGCCCATTTCAGAAACTCTGCACCCGTGTTTTTTTTCCAAGTCAGTTGCACCCACGTTATAGGCACGCGGATCAAGTTGCATTTGGGCAAGAAAACGCCAAAGTATGAATCTTTGGCGCAAAACAAACCATGCTGACCCGGTGTGTTCTTGTTTCTTGGCCAGAAACAAACATAAATCCTAAACCTTGAACTAACAACAACACAGGCCCACCAGAACTTTTTTGGAAAAACAAAACGAGTTACAACCTGTTTTTTTTAGAAGCACCTTAACACCCTGGCGAAATGGAACGAAATGGGCGAAATTCCCAGAACACTTATAAGCCCGGAACACAACCCAAGTATGGGGGATTCAAACGGGTATCGGGTGGAAAAAAAAATTGGGCACACGGGAGAAAAAAGTTCGTATTTTTGTCGATTAGTAAACCCTTCGACGAGGATTCAGTCCCTCCCTTTCTGTCGAGGAAAACGCTGTCCGCAGTACCTGTGCGGCAGCTGCGAACGGCCTGTGCGCCAACAGAACAGGGCCCGTGTTTTTTCGCTTCATTGGTGCTGGCGAACTCCGCCATTATGCGAAATCGCAAAACCAATAATCGCCACGGTAAGTCAAAACCGCGTCTAAACGCACTAAAACAACGTCTCACCGCACCAATACCTCCAATCTCGCGACTGTGACTCTTCCCCACCCCACACGCCCAACATCATTTGCCAAGCCTTAGCCGCACAAAATATCACCCGTAGCCTTCCGCATTCGGCGGCGGCAGCAGCGCTACGCAGAATAATTATTCTGTGGCATGTGACGTTTTTTCCCCTCAGCCAATGGTGCCCACGTTCCTCGCACGTATAAAGTATGTCACTATGCTGGAGCCAATCTTACTTCGCTGTGACAGCATTGTTAGCAGTACTACTAGCGCGCTACTCGAACAGCCGCCACCATCCAGCCACGTATTTCTGGAGCCTTCAGTTTATATCGTATGGTCATGGCTCGCTCTATTCTCTCCGTCGGCCTCGCGCTCTTCCTCGCTGCAGTTCTGGCTCTCTCCTGCGTCTCGTGCGCTCAAGGCGTCAGAGTTATTGCAGATGATGCGAACAAACTCCTGGCTGGAATGCGCAAGGCAGATGACGGTAAGATGACCGATTTTATTCGTAATATTGCTACGCACGGTTCCAGAGATCGCATGAATGACCAGAGCGCCCCGCTCGCGTTCCTGTTGTTGGTGTATCCGACAATTGCGAGGGACGCTTCTCTGAAAAAATCTGAGCCTTTTTCATGCGGGTTATTTTAGGTCAAATCATGGGCGTTCAGATCCCACACCTGCCCGTTGCTTCCTGCGGTGCCTCCCCGTGAGCAGGCACGCCCTGCAGTCTGGTGTTCAAGCGGAAAGTGCAGGACTGCTACTCACTCTCCCTCGTGAGAACGCAGAAGAGCATGGACAAGTGCAAGGAAGACCTTCTCGCGCAGATTCAGCAGTGCGGAGGCAAGCCAGTACGGGTAAGCATGGACGGCTCAGAATTTACCCTAAGGCCCTTTTGAGCCGCCTTGGGAATAGAGCATAGTGCAAGGAAGAAGTGCTGGCGCAGATTGAGCGGTGCGGAGGCAAGCCAGTACGGGTAAGACACTTTTGAGCCGCCTTAAAAGCATAGATGGAGCAGTGCATGAGGCCAGCGGTAAGTCACGTGCGTGATGTGGCGTCACATGCTGTGCCATCTGGCTTACCACTCACAAATGCCTATTCCATTTGTTTTTTCAGTGCGCATCATCTTTCCATAACTACCCGCCACAGGCCAGGTGTCCCTTCCAGTGCATGAGAAACCATCTCACCCTGTGTGCACATTCTGTTATTCTGCCCTTTCTCCTTCCCTTGTCCCTGTTTTTGCAGACCGAGTATCCTCTGGCAGGAGGAGCAAGCAAGCCTAGTAACTCAGCAAGGCCAAGCGCCAAAAAGTGATTTCTACTAGTGGGCATGGTGGGGAAAGAATATCGTTATGGGGTATGCTTCGGTGGTGTTTTCTTTTGGGTTTTCGTAGTGAATCTGTGCAAAAGGGTGGATTGTTGCTATTGGGAACGCATTGGGAATGTATGTTCAAATAGAAGTTTGATTTCTGTACAGGATATAAGTAACGAGTGCCCATTTTCGTATCAAGCGTCAAGAAGCACCAAACGTACTTTCTCGTTCATTCTTGCGAGTAATGAACAATCTCTCACTGGAATTGTTGCAGCTCGCTTGTTCTTCCAATTCCACCACCATTTGCGGTAGCCAATGAAGCTCCTGAGTACGCGGTAAGGAAGAAAGATGGAATGTCGAGCTGGCTTCCTGGGTCGCAGGACGAAACATTCTACACCTTAGAGGATTGAAATTGAGCCGTAGATCCTCCATCTCCACCCTCAACGCATCACAATTCTTCAGCAGCCCAACGGAGAGTCAACGCGTCACAGGTTCTAACACGGGGCAGCTTGCGCATTATTGCACTTGCATTATCACCGAAATTGCATAATTCACATTCAGCAGCCCAACCAGACTCCTTTCGTGAGTACTCTTGCGCGTTTCACAGCTGTAGGTAGAAACGGACGCCCCTCAATGTCGCGCTCTCGTTATTCTTCGTCCATGCAAACGGGCTCATCCCGTCTATAAAATTCTGCCGCAAAACGGGCACTAACCATCAGACTCAATTCATATTTCCATTCTTAGCTCTCTCAATCCCTCCCAGCCAGTCCATCACGCAGAACGCCATGGCTCACCCCATTCTCTCCGTCGCCCTCGCAATCTTCCTCGCTGCAATCCTGGCGCTGTCTTTCGCTCAAGGTACGGCGTCTCGTAGTGCCATCGCCGAACTTAATTCCTGGCGCCGCGCTTATGCATCGCGCCCTCACCCCGTGTTGCATAAAAATACCCGTCTTGGCACTTGCTTTCAGGAAAGTGAACCTCTCTGCCTGACTCCTGACTCCTTCCTCCCTGCATCGACCAAGCCATCTACTAACTCGTCTCATGTCTCCCCCACGCATCCCATGTCAAACTGCCCAGGCCTCCTCTGCTTAACATTCTCTCTGACCTTCACTCTTCTCACTCCTCTTTTCCTGCCCCTACCAGCACATCGCGGAAAAGGGAGATGCGAAAAACAACTGAAAAGTTACTGCCCCGTAACCAGTGCCCTAGATATCAGACTTTTTACGCTGATTCAGCGTCCATTTAGACTTTTTTTTTGTACCTGGTCTGAACTGTAAGTTTTTTTTTATGTACCTTCTCTGATTTTTCAGAGTTTTTTATTGTAACCGCTGAAATTTCAGCCAATTTTTAGGGGTGTAGGCTGAGCCTCAGACTTGTGTCGGGGGTGCACTCTGCGAGCTTATCGAAATGAAGTTTCCTGGAAGTTTCGTTTCGATATGCCCACTTCCGAGATGGAAGTGGAGTGCGAGGACGTGAGCAACGCACGCTTCAACAGCTGGGACATCCGAGTACACTCGTTCGTCGAGAACAGGCCCCCAGAAGTCAGACTTTTTTGTCTGATTTGCTTGTTTTAGTCTGAGATTTCAGACTTTTTTTAGGGTGTACTCTGTAAAATTCAGAGTTTTTATTGTCTCAAGTCTGTGAAAATCAGATTTTTTCTCTAGGCTGACTCTGACGTTTCAGAGTTTTCCGGGAGTGTACTCTGATGAATTCAGAGTACAAACGTGTCGAAATATGATTGTCATATTTTATAACTGCTTGTAGTTGTAGTGTAGTTATTGTACTTTGTAGGTGGTGCACCAACTTTGTTTCCTATGCTATATGTTTCTTGAAACCTATAGTGAAACTCATTCTCCAATTTCTCTCTTCCAACTCACTCGATACCTCGCCTAGGGAAACCTACTCGACACCTAAGTTCGGGCCTAGGCTCCTAAGCCTAGGCCCCACCTTTCAACTTAATTCCTTTTACTTTTGACATGTTATCGGAGCTAGGTTCGTCCTGGCCTGTGGGCCCACTTTACACTTCCGCTGCTAAGGTTTTCCGGTCGCGCGCCTAGGGCGCGTGACGATTTTATTTTTACATTGTCCCGCCCACGGGCGAGTGACTCCTTCCCTGCCCGTCGCGCGCCCCGTGGCACGCGACGGTGCCCTTCGTCTGCCCATCGTGCGCCCCGTGGCACACGATGGTGCCCTGCTCGTCGTGCGCCCCGAGGCACACGATCGGGCCCTTCTATTCTACCCGTCGTGCGCCCCGTGGCACTGGCCCGCGACGGGCCTTTCCGCCCCTGCACTCCCTGAAGCCGCCCCTGACACCACTGCACCGACACCTTTTCGCCGCTCTGCGGCTTTCTTCCTTCCCACCCCCCTCCTTCTTTGTCTCCCTGCAGCCGCGGGGAGGAGGGTATGGGGGTGGAGGGTGTTGGAGTGTGGCGTCACCTCTCTCCCTTCCCCTCCTCCTTCTTTCAGTCCCACCGCTGCAGCTGCCGCTGGGGGGAGAAGGTGTGAGGATGTGGGGGAGTAGGGGGAGTGGTACCGGGGTGGCGGGTGTGAGGCAACATGCAGCCGTCCCTCCACCTCTCCTCTCTTCCCCCCCTTCTCTGCTGCTCCTGCAGCAGTGTGGGGGAGGGGAAGGAGGAGGGTGAGGAGATGGAGGGGGTAACTCTTTAATGTTAGCCCGCCTGCATTACCTGCTGTTGCTTGTGATTATTTTGCATGGTGTACCCCCTCAGGGGGCGTAACTACATTTCTACCTACAAGCATTATGGGGGCGTGTCGAAATATGATTGTCATATTTTATAACTGCTTGTAGTTGTAGTGTAGTTATTGTACTTTGTAGGTGGTGCACCAACTTTGTTTCCTATGCTATATGTTTCTTGAAACCTATAGTGAAACTCATTCTCCAATTTCTCTCTTCCAACTCACTCGATACCTCGCCTAGGGAAACCTACTCGACACCTAAGTTCGGGCCTAGGCTCCTAAGCCTAGGCCCCACCTTTCAACTTAATTCCTTTTACTTTTGACATGTTATTGGAGCTAGGTTTGTCCTGGCCTGTGGGCCCACTTTACACTTCCGCTGCTAAGGTTTTCCGCTGCTAAGTTCTCTAGGCTGACTCTGACGTTTCAGAGTTTTCCGGGAGTGTACTCTGATGAATTCAGAGTACAAACGAGTTCCGACTCTGAATGAATCTACCTGCGCGCCGACACCCAGGATTAGCTGTGGTTACATGCATTGTACCTGTACCGCCGCCCTGCGGCCCGATGTTTCCCTCGTACAGCTGGATGTTTCACCCGCCCTGCGGCGCGTTCTTTCTCTCGGTGTCAGATGCTGCAGCAGTTGCCATGCCACCCACGTAAACGTGATGGCAAGCAGACACTCCTTTAGGCAGCATCGTGTACCACGATGCTGCAACATCCACACCACACACTGCAACGATGCGCCTCGTCGTTGCCGTGCATGGTAGGCAACCACCCACACAACTCAATGATGGCCCATCTTGGTAAAGGGCCTTCGTCTTTGTGCCAGGGTTTCATCCACACCCCTCAGCTACATCTCACGGGCCTAAGCCAGTGCCCAGTTTTGCCTCAGCCATCATCTCTGTAGTTAGTTTCTGCTCGACAGGCTCTTTGACAGCCCCGCCATGGCGGTGCTGGACAATCCCGCCACAGGCGACGACGACCCTGATGAGCGGCCTACCTTAACAGGCTTGGACTTCTTGCTTAGTACACTAGATCTCGATAAAGCTGCACGCGCCATGCCCGATACGATTCCCATACAGAAAGCACCCGCGGCTCCAGTTTTCTCACTTTCTGCCGACCATGTGGCAGAGACATCTGCGAAACCAACCGGTGATTCACAGTCGCAGATTCCGACTCAGACCACAGCACACACAACCCGTCTCAAGCAGGCGACCTTGACCTTCGGCAAACCTGCATCGTCAACTGCCAACGTCACGAACGCTCCCGGAACATCTGACCGACCGCGACCTCGCCTCAATATCAATCTGGCCGAGCTCATCGAGGGAGTTTACGACGAAGCGATTGACAAGTTCAAAAATCATTGGTCTACCCGTTTTCAGTGGCTCAGAATCACTAAAACCACTACCGGCTTGCCTGCGTTCAAGTGTACCGTTTGTGCAGCCTTTGCTGGGGATGCAGGAAAGTGCGGGAGGCGTGGGAGAGGCGCCACCGACCTGCAGACACAGTCTTTCCGTAAACACGCTGGCACGACGAAGCACAAGCTGGCGGTTGAGAGACAGAAATATGAAGAGGAGTGCGGTGGACGGCAGCCACAGATCGACCAACATCGCGCCGCGGTGGACACTGAGAAGATGCGGACCGTCGCCCTTCTGGACTCGCTGCTGCTCATCAGCAGGTCCAATGCGCCCATGGGGATGCGGGTGAAACTGGTGCGGTACTTGTTGGAGAAGGGCGTGCAAGGCTTCCCTAAGAGAGGGTACGGCACCTACTACACCACGTGAGTGCAACTGCCGTACGCCTCTTTATAAGTACCCACGTTTTAATAATCTAAATTGTTAGTGACTATTGGTTCCATGTGCAGATACGGCTTCGGTGAGCTGACGCAAGCTACAGCTACATGGCTCCAGACAACCCAGCTGCAACATGTGCTATCGTCGCCCTTCGTCGACATCTCGATTGACGAGAGCACGGATAGGTGCAGCGGGAAGCACTTGATCCTGTTCATCACCTTCGTCCGTGACTTCAAGGTCGTCACGGAGTTCATGGCGCTTCTCACCGTGGAGAAGGCCGACGCCGCTTCTCTTCTGGGCGTTCTGCTATCACACCTGCTGGCAGTCGGGGTCGACCTGCAGCGCATTGCAGGCATCAGCACCGACGGTGCGAACGTCATGATGGGCTGCAAGGGCGGCCTCACGACACGCCTCCGCATGCGCATTTTCCATTTGGTGTCATCCCACTGCATCGCTCACAGGTAAACCTGTAGGTGCATAGGGTTTTTTGAAGTTCTTTAACGGCTACATTTGACT